CAGGGTCTCACTATGTAGTTGAGACTGACCTCGAACTCGAACTCACTATGTAGCCCAGGCTGGTTTTGAATTCACAGCGATCCTCCTGCCTCAGCCTCCCAAGTGCTGGGAGAACAGGCATGCACCACCACACCTGGTGAGATCCTCATTCTTTTCCACTACAGAAAGGTGAGGTTCTGCTGCAGGTTGGAACAATATGGAAACGAATCCTAAGAATAATGGTGGTGGGCCCAAGGCCTTGTCAAAATTTAGATCTCTAAACCTGCCAGCCATCTTTATCTTCCACATCATGAGCCACTGAGGATTCTAGACTGTGTAACTCTGCCTCACATAATAAACCATGAAAATGTGCTAGCATTTAGCATGGCCCACAGTTATCCAATAATAACTTCCTATGTGTCAGGATTATAGTATAAGAAGATTAATGGTCAAAATGTCTCTTTAGAAATTCAAGCTTCTTTAGAGCCACCAATTATTAACAACTGCTTAGGGGAACTTGATCTCCAACAGCTCCAATCATCTTCTATTTTTTAAAAAAAACCCTAATTTTTAAAAGATGTTTCCTTTGATCTTAGTATTCCTACTTAACAAGTCAAAGATTTCAACTCAGTTTAAATGTGTTTGTTGAGTGTCTACTATGTACCACACAAGCAAGGCCAATACAACAATGCTCCTTTGTAAACATGGAAATTATCATGTGGTTCTTTTAAACATAATTCTATACAAAATCTAGAATAGATCAACAAACTTACTCTACCAGTGCAGACCAGAATAATTTATATGAACTCCAAAATAACTCAAAATTTTTCCCAATAGTAATGACACAACAAACAAACACAAAACCATGAAGACAGCTTCCAATAATGTAATGTGTTTTGGTACATTATTACCTCTCACGTTCTAAAATTAGGTCTTGAAACATTTGCCAGTTACCACTTAAAGGCAAAATAATGAGCAGCTTGCAAGAAACTATCACTATCATATCCACTGATAAAATTTAGAAACTGGAAGCTTTTTCAATTTTCTTTCAGTGGTGCCAGGGATTGGACCAAGGACTTCTTTCTTCCATACTAGGAAGTGCTTTACCAGTGAGCCAGGTCTGCCATGTTATGGGTACTGTTCACTTGTACCATTTCCTAAATTGTTCACAATTTCAGAAAAACTCATTCCGTCCTCTTTATTGACTCATGCTGTCCTCTAACTAATTTTAGAGAAGAATTTTAGAGAACTTTTCAACTTCAACAGAATTGGCATTTCCATCTGGAAAATTCCGTCGGGGAGGGGCAGGCTGTGCATCCTAGACTATTCATCGGTACCTCTGGCCTCTACCCTCTACCCTACCAGTAGCCTCTCCTCTCCCACCAGGTTGTGACCATGAAAATGTCTCCAGGCATTGGCAAATGTCAAAATATCTCTTGTCAAGAACTAAATACATTAGACAAATATTATGGAAATCATGTACCTGGTGGTAGTGAATGTCTAAAGCCTATGTTATGTCCAAAAACAAAAAACAGAAAGTGTGCACGTAAATGAGATTCAAACAGTGACAAGTAACACTGAGGAAACAAATAGGCTCTATAAAAGAAAAAAAAGCTATTGGAGGAAGAGGAGGGTGCATTTGATTAGGGCAGTAGAGTCTTCTCTGAGAGGGTAACATCTGGATGCACCGGGCCTGAGAGTGAGAAGGAGCCAACCCCTGAATCAGGGGAAAGCACATTCTAGGCAGAGGGAGCAGCATGTGCACACTATGAGAGAGGCAAGAGCATGGCACGCTGGACAGGTGAAGGGGAGAAGTGAAATGCAATAAGATTGAGCAGATCGAGCAAGATGGAGAAATGTCAGATGCTTCTCCCAAGACGGCACCTCTGAGCCAAACACAAAGGGAGGTGGAAGCTACAAAGCCAGGAAAGAGGGCAGAGCATCCTAAGCACCGATTCACATGAGGCATGGCCCACAGTGCCATGAGGAAGCTCACCACGGGTAAGGAAATGAGAGGCCTGTGACACTGCACAGGAAGAACAAGGCTGGCCATCACAGGTCTTGGGGTCTGCTGTAGGAAGTCTTTAAGAAGTGTAGGAGGGTGCCATTAATGTGTAAAGGCATGGTGTCTATCTAGCGGGTGATTCATTCCAATGAACATTAACTGACCATTCCTCCTGGGCAACTCTTCTGCATCAGTTTTGGACACCTTG